TTCAACCATTATTTCTTCAGATATTCTTTCAGCTCATCTCTTTCTCTTTCCTTCTCTCAGTCTCATTAAAGCATATGTTGATTACTTGATGGCATCCCAGGTCCCTTACATTCTGTTCATTTTTCATTGTTCTCTTCCTTCTACTCCTCAAATTGTCAAATTGAATTGTCCTTCCTTGATTTCACTGATTCCTTATTCTGCCTGCTTGGATCTGTTAATGAACCTCTGTGGTGAAGTTTTTATGACAGCTGTTAAACTTTTCATTTCCATAATTATTTTTCTCTTTATAGTTTTTAATATTTTACTATTTTATAGTTCCTCTGTTGATATTCTTCATTTTGATCATCATTTCCCCCCTTTTTTTAAGTTATTGAGATTTCCTTTAGTTCTTTTGAATACATTTAAGCAGTTGATTTAAAGTCTTCATCTAATCAATCCAATGTCTGGAATTTCTCAGGAGTGACTCTGCTGATTAATTTTTTTCCTGAAAGTGAACCTTATATTTCTTGCATGCCTTGTAATTTTTTACTAAACACTGGACATTACAATATAATAACTCTAGAAATAATATTCTCCCTCTGCAGTCATTTATTTCTTGTGTGACTTTTCCAAACTATTTTGTAAAAGCTACATTCTTTGTTGTGTGTAGTCACCAAAGTCTGTTTTGTTGTTTTAGTGGTCCAACAGTGATCTGACAGGGTCCCTTAAAAGCCTACAGTCAAAAAGAAAAACAGTAGTATTTTCCTAGTCTTTGCAGCTTAGCTATAAATTAGAATACTCCTTGAACAGTAAATCAGACTTCCTGAAACTTTTCTTTAGCCTTTACTCTCGCTTGAACAAAGCACATAGAGGTTTTAGCCTAGGGTTCTCTTGGGTCTTTTCTGAATATGTGTTCATTTCTTAGGTGTGTGCATTGTATTCCAGTTTCCCAGGAATATACAATGGCCTTTAAGCTTCTGTTGCCCTATTAGCCATTATTATCAGCTTCCTCCATTGCAGGCTTTTGAGTTTTGTCTGTCGCTTATCGTATCTTGCATCCCTTGTCCCAGGTAAGCATGGAGTATTCGTGTCTGTAAATCTTTTTACAGATGCTGCTATCACCAGGTGAACTGTTCCAGTGCAAGAGGAAGGAGCAAAATAAAAGTCAGCCTCTGCTGGTCCCTCAGGGGTCAAATCACACACCACAGTTTCTTGAGGACAAGGTCTGTGTGAGCCCCAAAATAGCAGCAAGCTGCACCAGAAATGCCAGTTGCCATCCTCAAAGCTGCTGCCACAGCACTGAAAAATAATGGGTGGTAGTTCAGTGGGTGACTGTATTACAGTACTCTGTCAGTGAATTTCAGACACTCTTTTCTCCATTTACCAGTCCCCTGCTTGCTGTAAATTTTGGATTACATTCCAGAATTTTTTTTAAAAAGTTGATTTGCGTCAATCTTTCCAAGCTTGTAGTTGTTTCTATAGAGGGACTGATTCGTTAAGTACCATACATACTTTGCCATTTTCCATGATGGGGCTCCCCCATTCTCCTCCTCTAATAATGCTTCAGGCTTACATACTTCAACCATGTTACAGAAAGAAAGTACACCTTTTTGAGCAGTAATATCTGGTTTTTGTCAGCTAACTATTACGGGTATATACACCAAACACATCAATTTGAACAACCAATTAAGTGATATTAGCAATTTGAACTTTTTTGTTTTCACAGTTTTTTTAGACAGAGTTTCTCTTCCTATTTCATACTAGCCTGAACTCACCACTGTGTATACCCCAGGCTGGCCTGGAGCTCACCATGATCCTCCCACCTCAGTCACCTGAGTGTTAGGATTATAGGCATGCACCTCCACAACTTCTGCCTTGTCTTTTTATTGAATTATATCTTATTAACTATGTCATTTTTCCCATTTATAACTTAGCACTGTTCAGGTAAAATGTACCTGTAAATGCTTTCATTGCATCCTGAATAACATACTTCAATAAATATATTTAATTTTATTGTGGTATAATACATATAGCATGAAACTTACTACTTTAACCATTTTAATGTATAAAATTCAGCTGTATTAAATACATTTACAAGGTTATATACAACCATCACCCCATCTACTTCCAAAAGTTTTTCACTGTCCAAACCCTGCACTGAAACAGAATTGAGTATATACTTTGGTATACTACCTACATTACATGGCACCCTGGTGTTTAATATTACCAAACTGTTTTCAAAGCATCTATACCATTTCTACAATTCCATTAGCAGTGTTTGAAATTTCCGGTTTCTCTACATCCTCACCAGCACTTGTTATTGTCTGCCACTTTGATTTAGTCATTTTAGTGGGTAGGAAGTAGTATCTCATTGTGGTTTTGATTTGAATTTCCCTGTTTGTAAGTAATTATGTTCAGCATTTTTTCATGTATCTTTTGACCATTTATATATCTTCTTTGGATAAGCATCTGTTCAAGTCCTTTGCCTGTTTTCTAAGTTGAATTATTTATCTTTTGGGTTTGATTTGTGAGAATTATTATATGTTCTCTATTAAGATAGTAGTGCGAGGGCTGGGGATTTAGCTCACTGGTTCTGTTGCCTGCCTCGCAAGCACGAGGTCCTGAGTTCAATCCCCAGTACCCCACCCCCCAAAAAAGGTAATAATGAGATACATGAATGTGTAAGTTTTCTTACACATTCTGTGGTGGGTTGTCTTTTCACTTTCTTGATAACATCCTTTGATACCTACAAGTTTTTAATTTTGATAAAATCTAATTATTTTGTCTTTTTCATCTTGTGCTTTTGGGATCATATTTAAGAAACTAATGTCAAATAATAGGTCACAAAATTTTGTCTCTGGTTTTCTTTGGTAAGATTTTATAATTTTAGTAATAAATGTAGGTCTTTGATCATTTTTCAGTCAATTTTTATAAATGGCTTAAAGTAAGGGCTTGACTTTTGCACTTTTATTGTATGTATTTTTAATGCTTTAAAAATTTCAGTCCCTTTTTGTTGTTGTTAGCTACTTTTCATTTTACTCTAACAGGATATATTCCATTCAAGTCCCAGTGACTTACCACAATAATAATTTTGAAAATGAAGGCGGGCCAAAAAAGAAACAGTTGTAACCCTTATCTCTCTTCCTTCTCCAGATTGTCTGTCTCTGCTATTAAGGATGATTACTTTAAATTATGTCCTTCAAAATAGATGTCCTACTTTTTGTCTTATAATTTCATAGTTTCAAATCTTAGAGTGTATAATCTGCATATAAGGATTCCTGTGTGGTTTTGAATTTGACTTGTCTTTCCAGACATTCAGAACTATATTTTGAAAATCTAAAGGTTCAGATGTTGACTATTGTAGTTTGTCATCCCTTTGATTTGTTTCATAAATTTACTCTCCTCAAAAGTATTGATAGCTTTGTTCACCCTTTGCTTAAAAATATCCCATCCTCCTATTTCTTACTTGTACTGGCAGTAATATGTCGTCCTGAGACAGACTGTTGCTATGGCAGCTGGTCACAGAAACCAGTACAGAACCACAGCAGTGATCAGTTTCCCTGGCAACAAGCCCCCCCACATCAAAACAGATCCTTCTGGTGCAGTCTGACAGATTCCAGTAGCACTAGAAATCATGGGGTGTGGGATCAGGGCACACAGCAGGATCCCGGACTCAAGTGGCCATAACAAATATAAGGAAAAGAGAACAGAAAAAGTGTAAAGAGAGAGAGAGAGAGATGAGGAATCTCATGTTACAAGTGAAAGAAGGTTTTGAATTGAAGTGGAAATGATGTATACCAAAAATTGGATATTTTGTGTAGATGATTTAACCAGTAAGCAGCATACAGGAAAATTGATGCCTTTGGGGGTTTTTCTAGCTTTCCTTTTTTATTCCTTTTAAGGCTGAAATAAGCCTAAGTTCTTGGCCCTCTACGCTTCTCTCAGAGTACTTCTCATTTATGTTAACTGTTTGAGGAGAACGCATTAACTAATAAACTCAGCTGCTCATGTCCAAATTTGTTTCCTCTGAGATAGTAACCTGACAAGTAGTTACGACTGTTCAATGTGGGCCCTTCCTGTTCTCTGAGATACGATGAACTCATTTAAAATAACTTTCCTATTTAATTGAAGTAGTGTCAATGATAGTAATTGCATTTGTGCACATAACATTCCAGAAGAGGATACTCTGGCTGACGGCCCACTACATGCTCTCCCCAGGGTGTTTGTTGGGCTCCCAGTGCTCTACACAGCCACTGTGCTTCCTCTTGCTGTCTTGGCAGCATTATCATAACAGCAACAAGTTCAAAAGACTACTTTGATAGTTAGTCAACATTTTGATTTTGCATTATCATTGTAAAGACATTAATGATCTAATGTAGAATCCAAATTAAGAAATATACTTGTCAAGGAAACTTTTTTTTTTTAATCCCCATATTTTCAGGGATATAAGAAAAATGAGCCTTGAAGGGTTTTCAGAATTGAAATTTTTTATTCCATTTTACTATAGCACTTTCTGGGAACTCTCTGTTGATAAAGACAGTGTTTTAAAAATATTCACTTTGAATGTAACTGTACTATATACCTAAAATTTATCAATAAGCCGGGCATGGTGTCACACGCCTGTAATCCCAGCACTCAGGAGGCCGAGGCAGGAGGATCACTGTGAGTTCAAGACCAACCTGGACTACACAGTGAGTTCTATTTCAGTCTCAACTACATAGTGAGAACCTGTCTCAAAAAACAAACAAACAAAAAAAGTACCGATAAACTCAATGAGGAAAAAAAAATAAAATAAAATAAAAATATTCACCTCTCATTGTCATGGTAGCAACCCTGTCCAAAATAGGTCTTAGTGCATCTTACAGTCCATTTGGAGAAAAAGGTTTCAGAATGAGCCCTGGAAATGTTTACCTGCAAAATATACTGCACATGCTTAATGCATTTGTTTCTATTAAAAGTAGGTATCTATTTAAATAAATTTGGCACCAGTAATTGTATTTACATTTATTTTCCCAAAATAGGGCATCACATTTGATGAATTCAGGTCATTTTTCCAGTTTCTGAACAATTTAGAAGACTTTGCAATAGCCCTAAATATGTATAACTTTGCAAGCCGTTCTATAGGACAAGGTAAGTAATCATTCTTCAAATATTAAAAGCAAAAACGATTCTATGTTGTTTCTAGAAACTTCGGCAACAAGTTAATTAGCTGTGTTGTACCACCTATCAATTTCCCTTAATGTCTTGTTTATACTTTCAGTGAGAAAGAGGTTCTGAAACTTAAAAGAAATTTTAGGGGATTGTGCTAAATTTTTTAAAATTTATTTTTGTCTTTAATTCCATATTATGAGGAAAAACTCATGGTTTGTAAAAAAAAAAAAAAGAAGAAGAAGAAGAAGTTCAATAAAGAGGAAACCTCATGGCTGTTGGTAACATTGACGGCCATGACTACCTAGAGAGACCTTGTCAGCCATGGTCCTAAACATTTTCACAGGATGCTATTTATTTTACCTACTGGATGACAAACTGGAAATTTGTCAGCAGAGCCACCTCCTAGCCATGAACCTACTTATGTTAGCTGACTTTTGAGAATAATGTATAAAATTGAATAATGATTTGGCATAATTTACCAAAAAATGAAGTTGTCATAAAATTCGTAATGCTTCTGTCCTCAGAAACAGCTATCTCGCTTGTTCTCTGGAGGGTGGTCGGCAAGCCAAGTCTTTTGCTAAGTTTTTTGTCTGCAGTTATCTTCTCTCCCTTTGTGGCCATATAGCCTTTTTTAAAATTCATGCTACTGGGAGACTTTTTTATTTGTCTTTTAAGGTGATTTTAGCTGTCTCTGCTGTTATCAAGTAATGTATTAATTCTCAAGTTTAAATCTCAGAGGACAGTCTTGGGTTTTAAGGGGCTTGGATTCAATCCCTAGAACCAAAACAAACAGACAGACAAAGAAAAACCTCTAACATAACCTCTCAATTATCTGGCTTCATTTATGTATTCATTAAAAGAAACTAGAAAATTCATATGTTATTCTTTCTGTAGCCCAGGAGTTCAAATATGCTGTCCTCTCAAACCAAAGCGTTCAGAACCAAGCCATCAAAGAACAGCATTTACTACTACAATAAGGAAGGAAGGAAAGGGAAGAGAGGAAAGAGGAGGGGAGGGGAGCGAGGGAGGGAAGGAAACAAAGAAATCAGTATCAGCTTCCTGGATTCAGAATAGAAAGTTGCTCTTTTACTTTGTGGAACTTAGAAGTAGGAAAAATTAATTGTGTTGCTTTTGCAGTACAGTACTAGGAATATGTCCATCTCTTTGTTTTCTTTTGCTAGTGCTAGCATCTTAATTTGGATTATTATTCTTCAGAGTACTATTGCATTAGCCACCTAAGTGGCTTTCCAACAACTAGCTACTTTCCTTTCTAGACAACTCACAGAAGTGTCTTTCTAAAACACAAATTAACCTTTCTATGACATACCTTCTATGGAAAACTCTTTAAAATTTTAGATGCCTTCTGCCTGAAGGGCAGCAGCTCTATTCAGAGCGTCTCCAGATCCTCCATGTCCTTATTATACCCAAACCAGACTGTTGTCTCCTGCATAGCTCTCTTGTTCACTAATGTCCTCTCCTCTGCTATTTCCCTCATCATTATAAGTTGAAATCATCCCTCCTTCAAGACTTAGCTCAAATACAAAAACCACTGCCTTTCCAAATCACTGTGGTTCTTCCCCTTCTCGCTATACTGCAGCTAGAAATAATGATCTCCAAATACTCATAGCACTTTGCTGGTACATTATTGGATGGCCCTGTGTAGTGGTTATTTGGGCAAGTGTCTCATATTCCATCTGACTTTTTCTTGAAAATTTACTCAATAGTTTCCCTGTCACTGACAGTAGATGCTCATTAAACATTCATTGATTATGAACGTATTATTAACCAAAATGCAGCTACTTTTTGTTCTTTTCATTATATATACAAAATCTTATTCCTTAAAAGGCAGCATAATTAATAAAGTCATGTATTATATAAGATCATGACCCATGTTTAAAAAACAACTTCTTTAACATCCTTCCTAGTAATTAACATATACTAAAAAATAAAGTTAATGGTCTACTGTTTTTCTTTTTATGTGACATTTATCTAGATGAATTTAAACGTGCTGTCTACGTAGCTACTGGACTCAAACTTTCACCTCATTTAGTGAACACTGTCTTCAAGATTTTTGACGTTGACAAAGATGACCAATTAAGTTATAAAGAATTTATTGGAATTATGAAAGACAGACTCCATAGAGGATTCCGGGTAAACTTACACATTTCCAGCCTTTTACTATCCTTTTTAAAACCTGAGTATAAAAAATATGCATTCAGAAACAGATTATACAAATTTTTAAGAATATAAACATGAAAGCTTTATTAGTAAAGAAAAGCCATAGGCCCTTCCTACTTTCAAAAACAGTTTGAGGTGATAAAAATACAGATAAAATACAGAAAATGATTTTGACTTTTAGTAATTTAATTTTCATATTGAATTAATGTTTTTAGCCCTGTTGCCAGATATTTTTTTAAAAAATCCAGTCTCCGTATTGGCTTTTGGACTTGTTAATGTACAAGGAACTATTTTTCTCATTTTCTATGAGAAACATTGCTGCTAGGCAACTTGAGACTCTCTAAGTTATCACATATTCACTATCATTTATATGGAAAACAAATTTTAAAAGATTTTTGCCTGTTAAAATATTTTTTTCTGTTGACATACTAAAAGTCACTACTAGAAATTCAATGCTTTTTTCCTAAGGAATATGATATAAAACTTGAAATATAGCATGATTCAATAAATGTGGAGGTGCCACAAATAGAAAAAGAAAAATTTCTATTAAAATCAACAGCTAGCATATTCAGTCTTCCCTCCTTAGCAAGTATATCCCTAAGTATCATACATTTTTAAGTAGAAAAAGCTCATCTATTCAATCCCTCGTACCAAAAAAAAAGGAAAGAAAGAAAAGAAAAAGCTATATTTAGAAAAAAAAATCAAGATTCATCTTAGTGTGTTTTTAAAGTCTTGTGATGACTAAATCCAGGCTGTCTTGGTAAAGATGCTGTGTACTTAACTGCCACCTAGTGGTTCTTTGCCACAACAATCAGATAATGCTGCAAATAATGAAAAAGACATGATAAAAATAAATATAAACTATGTTTTAAACCTTCAATGCTGTGTTTCTCCCTTAGGTGTTATGTTTTTATTTTATGTATTTATTGCGTATGTGTGGGCCCTATAACATTTTATTTACATTTGCACACTTAAAATTTTGTATTTAACAAATACATATATATTTATGCAGTATTATATATATTTGATATATGTATACATTGTTGAATTATTATATCAACCTAATTAAAATATCTATCACCTCATATATTTAAAAAGTATGAAGATTATACTTATAAAAATAGTAACAATATTTTAAATCTATTTTTAAAAGCATTTTTAAAATATGCAATACATCGCAGCACTTAGGAGGCTGAGGTAGGAGGATCACCATGAGTTCAAGTCCAGCCTGTGCTACATAGTGAGTCTGTGGCAAGCCTGAACTACATAACAAGACCATGTCTCAAAAAAATAAAAAATAAAATACACAATCCATAATTATTAACTATAGTTACCTTTCCATGTAGTTGACCTTGAAAGCTTATTCTATCAAATGGGAATTTTCTAATCTTTGGTCAACTTCCTACCACTCCACCCCCAACTCTAATCCTTTGTTTACCACCATTTTACTTTACTCTTTAAGTCTGACCTTTTTTAGATTCCACCTTGAAGTGAAATTATTCTTTATCTTTCTTTTTGTACATTTGAGCATTTTTAATTCTCTGTTCCACAGGGTTATAAAACAGTCCAGAAGTATCCTACTTTCAAATCTTGCCTGAAAAAAGAGCTTCATAGCAGATAAAGTAAGTTAGTTTCTATTGTTCTAAATTGGTTGAGTAACAAAAAAAGAGTTGTATTTTTCTGTTACAACATTTAGAATATAGCTAAGATGAGGGTGGGGGCATAGCTAAGTGGTAGAGCACATGCACAACATATGAAAGGTCCTCAGTTTGCTCTCTAGCACCACAAAAAAAGAAAAAAGGAAAATATTTGAAAGAAATAGAATTATAATTTAAATTTTTAAACTACTTAAGTGTCTTTAAAATTTTTTATGTTAAGCTTTCACTTTTGTACCTGAGCAGGTACTGTATAATAAATTTAAGTTGTATTATAATATAAGATCATTAGCACATAAGGAGTGTGTTACTGTTTTTAGTGATCATGATTCTGAATTTTGGTATTTTTAAATAATTATTTTAGATAACAGTATACTCAGTGTTGTTTTATATGTATCTCATTTAATTCTCAAAGATTGATATCCCATTCAACAACAGCGAAAATAAGGTTTACAAGTAACACTTAAAACAACTAGCTAGTAACTGACAAACCAGCAGTTGAGCTTTATTTTTCTGATGAAAAAACCATTAATTACTTTTACTACACTGTTATTAGAGATTGGAATAATGAGAAAGATTTAGGAGATCTTTTTCATTTGAACTTATCAAGGAAATATCTAAAACTTGTTACTAGTCTTCAAGACAAAGGGTGTTCTTTTCTTTTCTTTTTTAAGTCAACTGTACCTACAAAACTTGAATCGATTGTGGATTTTGGTTAGGTTTTCAAAACAGAAGGGTTTTTAAATTTATAAATGAAGGCATTTTGCATATTGCTTGTTATTTTCCCCAAGCCTGAAGCATGTGTGTATATATGTACCACTATTTCATAAGTGGTTTATCAGGATATTAATGCATATTTTTCTTAAAAAATAACTGGGCATGGTGATGCATACCTGTAATCCTAGCACTCAGGAGGCTAAGACAGGAGGATCACCACAGGTTTGAGGCCAGCCTGAAATACAAAGCAAGACCCTGTTGCAAAAAATAAAATAAAAATAAAATGAAATTTTAAAATAAAGCTATTTAGTCATTTGAAAAATATATTAAAACGATTCATTCAGTTCCTTCTCCACAGAATTTATCACACTTTACTGCTGTTCATTTTCTTTCTAAAAGGAAATAGCATTTTTCAAAGCAGCTCTGAGATCTAATGTTTTAGAGAATCCACTTGGGGAATACTGTTAAAAAATATTATAGCAACAAGGAGACTTATTTACTTATCAGAGGCCATTCCATTTATACATATATATGAGTAATATTCCCAATTTGTAATAGCATCACACTGATACTACAGAAATTACATAATAAGTAGAAATTAGAAAAAATAAGTAGAAATTAAGGTACTGAATAACATGATGATGGTTTACATGGCACTTTTAACTTTTAAAAGTATGTAAGTAACATATTTTGCTTGACTTGTGAAAAATTTTTGTTGTTATTCATTTACCAAAGCACAGAACCATAGGTAGAAGTAACCTTTTTCTATATCTAAAACTGAAGATTATGAAAGTTTCTCATGAAACATCGAACTCTTAAAGTCAAGGAAAGATTGTATGATACTTTAAGTGTTTGTTCAAGTGGGATGTTTTTACTATTTCATATAATTTTCATAAGAATTTTGATTAATGTCATCACCTCATAGTTGTAGCCAACATAATTACTTTTGTATTTTTCTTTCTTTTAATCAGATAGTCCTAAAGCAAACTTTAAAGAACTATTATCTGTCAAACACAGAAGCAAAAATTTCTGAATGGAAGCAAGTCTGAGATCAGAAAATGTAAAAAGGAAAGGGTGAAATGTTAATGAAATTTCTATTTTTTTAATGGAATTCTTAAACACATAAAATGCTTCTTCTATCCTTGTTAATATATAATCAGGTTGAGCTTTTGCTGTGATTTATTGAACTCTGCACTTTTTCATTCCTTTCAGAAGTATAAAGATACTTCCAGTGACTATATAATGATGTATTTTAACTATTTCTATTTATTTATTAAAACTTTGCCTCATTTCAAAGTAATTTATGACTCATAGAATGTAGATCATCTAAAAATGGACATCACATTTTCTCTGGTTTTGGACTGTGAACTTAATTTGGAAAATGAATATTGTTATCTTAGGTCCCTTAGAATCGTTAGTAAATCCCTATTGTTCGTCGGGTTTTTAATTGTATTGAAATGATTTTTGGAAAATAAGTAGAAATTAAGGTACTGAATAACAAGATGATGGTTTACATTGTACTTTTAACTTTTAAAAGTAATAAGTAACATATATTGCTTGACTTGTGAAACATTTTTTGTTGTTATTCATTTACCAAAGCAAACAGAATGTCTGGTATTATTTTATGTATAGTAAAATAAACTTAAAATATGGAGTTTTTTTTTTCAAAGAAATGTCATATATTGATAATTAGGAGCAGAGTCAGTTGTAATAATAGTCATTGTCATTATTGTTTTAAACATGATGCTGCTCCTGATTTAGGTGATAAGTGTAATGCTAGTAAAAATACTATTCTGTACTCTATAACTTATTCCATACTGTTAATGTATGTTTGTGGTACCAAAATGAGTGTTATAATTTAATAGTCAAAAATAGTTTAAATGGGCTGGGAATTTAGTTCAGTGGTTCCACTGCCTGCCTTGCAAGTGCAAGGGCCTGAGTTCAATCCCCAGTATCAAAAAAAAAAAAAAAAGTTTAAAAGACTGATGTATAAAGGCAGAAGCTAATTTTCTGTTTCTTGCTAAAGGACCACATGCAAAAGTGATGCCAGTAATAATGAATAACTGAAATATAACTTGTTATTTGAAAAACAATATGTCTTAAAAGGGAAAATAAAAAGTTTCTATTGAAAAACCACAAAATTAGGTTTTCAAATGGAGAAATAATTTGATAGTACTTAACAGAAATCTCTTTGAAGACATGTAGGTTATATAAAGATACTATACAAAAGTAGTGCAATAAATTTAAGTTTACATATTGCATGAGAAACAGAGTTCATTTATCTTCTTTTTTAAGACATATGTAATGAAGTTACATGCACTCCAATTATTGTATTGCTTTTGCATAGGACAATAGGAAACATTGAGTTTGTTTTCATGTTAATAAATGTGAAATTGATTTGCATCATCTTATTTATAGAAGTAATGTTATTTCCAAAAAAAATTATTAGCATTGATTTTGTGTTTGTTTGACTTTTTACATTCTTTATCTGAATGTTTATTACACATAGAAATGTAGTAAAATACACTTAGTATAATAATTTAAGTTCACCCACTTTGAAGATTCAGTCAGTTGATTGAGTAGAGATGCCTACTTATTCATTTATCATGTCCAGCTCTATTGTACTTTACACTGAGTGTTCGCCATATTATTTTGTATCAAAACTACAGCTTGGTCTTGAGCTGTAAGTTAAATTATCTTTATTACATGGAGTGTCTTATAAATACAGATTAAAAATTGAATTAGCTCATGAAAATCCTTTAGAATTCCATCATTCTCCCAAAGAATACCCTCCTACATACATAATCATTAGTTTTTATTACTTATCAATATGAGTGGATCTGTATATACAGCCGCAACATAATATAAAAATGGGACTAAATAAAATATTCTGATCAGTTAAATGGAAAGAGAATAATAAATTTTAGTAATTCCTTTTATAATACCACTCCTGAAATCTATCACCTATAAAATAGAAGTTAAAATGTCTCACTGGATTATTGTTTACATCAATTGAAGTATTTTTAAATTCTTTGAAAATAATGTACTAAATACATGTCTGCTGTTATTTTTGTTATTTCCTTTTGCAAACTACTCTTCACAAAGGTTAAGCTATACACAAAATATAAGTATTATGCATTTTAGAGAAAGCCTATATGCTAAATGGTTTATGTTATTTCTCAGAATCACTTCCCAATAAGAAATTATTTAACTGAAATTCCAATGAATTGTTCTTAATATAAATTATAATTGTAAAGCAACCAATCTTACATTTTTATATTATTTTAAAATAAATATACCTGCCCTTGAATCATATAACATTGTCGTATTCTTTTGTGTATATCTGTGGGCTGTCTTTCTGAAAATGTCACTTTCAAATTTAGCAAATCTTTGTGGATTACCAAGCCTCCATTTGATCTTATAACCTCTTCTGTGCTAATGCATGCCAATGAAATTGATCTCAGCAATATCTTTATAGGTAAGTAAATTGCAAAGCCATAAAGCCTCTTGAAGTATTTCATTCCAGTGTTAAAACCTATCGTTATTAATACTAGAAAGCTTTTCAAAAAGTTTATATGTGACTTAATAGAATATCAATTTGCTTCACAAAACTAATTATTTAAATGTCCTAAAATAATTAAAACCATAGTAGCCTGTTTTACTAATATTGATGTTTTTCTCTAAGGTAATACCTACAATTTGCCAGTTTTCAGAATGCATTATTATCCTATGTATAATGTATATTAAATTAACACTTTTGAAAAGCACAATGCTTTTATTTGCAAAAGATGTAAAAATATGAATTGTATAGTATTCACTAAGTATATTAAAAATTCTAAGTACTAAAGGATTTCTTTATTTATTTAATTGGCAGAACATTTACCTTCTTAGTAATTATAAAATAATGGTTTATGTTTCAATGTAAAATCTTAGATTCTGTAAAATACTGTATTTATAATCGTCTTTGAATCACGATGAATGTTTTGGCATACATCTTAAAATAAAGAATGTACCTATATATGTCCTTATAAATATATTGTATTCAGAGAAAGTTGAAAACATTACTATAACATTTTTCTGAGAAAAATAAATTTTGTTTAACATTGTGAAAGAAGGGATGGACAAGTGCTAATGAGAAATAGGATGGAAAACATAAGAGGATAGAGAAGGGATCTGAATGAGGATTAATGTTTTAAAATTAGGACCAAGTGAACGGTTTTGAAAAAATAACTTTGTTTTGTTGTTGTTGTTTGTTGTTGCTTGTTTGTTTGTTTGTTTGTTTGTTTTTTGTACCAGGAATCAAACCCCAGGACCTTGTGCTTACAAAGCAGGTGGCAGCACCACTGAGCTAAATCTCCAGCCCAAAAGATAACTTTTTTAATTTTTATAGTACTGGGGATTGAATCCAAACCTCATACATGCTAGGCAAGCATCCTAGCTCTGAGTTGCATCCCCAGCCCTTTCTGTTATTTCTCTTAGGACACATTCTTTCCAGGTTGCAAAGGCTGGCATCCAATTTGCTGTCCTTCTGCCTCCGGCTCCAAGTCGATGTGCTATCACAACATTCCAGGAAAATAAACTAAATAAATATGACTTAAATCAAAATGATGATATATATGAATTTTGTTAATTTTATGGTAGGTAGCATAGTTTGATAGTATATAGTGTTGGGGAGCAGGCGGGGCAATTTAGGTCTCTTAGACATAGTGAAGCTTTAAATTTGGGCGTAATATCTTTGGAGGGTAACCTAGAAATTCTCAAAATTTTGAGCTAGAATCTTACTTCTCATAGTATCCCAATACATGCATAGAGAAATTTCTATATAATCAAATATATGTGTTCAATGAAATAAGTATGAAACCATGAAAAGCAAGTCCACTTATGGTTTTTTTATTCATTAAATTCATGGTACATTTTAGGTATATGATGAAATTCATCATTGGGAATCTGTACCTTTACATGATGTATCTTGATTCTTATTTTTTGCCCCATTCCCCTCCCCTCCCTACAACCGCTCCCACCCTTCCTATTTACAAAGACTTGGTTTCCATTTTTTCTTTTTCTCATATTTATTCCTTTCCCTACACTTCCCATTTCCCCTTCCCTCTTGGACCTTTTCTTCCTATTTCACATTATCTATTTTACATCTTGATCCTTATTTTACACTTTCAGTTTCTCATACAAGAGAAACAATTCAGTATTTACACATACATATCCTATTTATTTCATTGGAGTATGGCTTCAATGTGCATCCATTTAGCTATGAATGTCTCTAGTTTCTCATTCTTTATGGCTGAGTAGTACTCCATTTTATAGAAAAACCACATCTTTATCCAGTCTCTAGCTGATGGGCAAATGGACTGTTTGCAGGTTTTAGCTATTATAAACTGTGCTACTATAAACATGGGTGTGCATATATCACTGTGGTGTGATTCTTTTAATTCTTCTGGGAAGATACCCAACAGGGGAATAGCTGGTTCAATGGGACCTGTAATCCTAGTTTTTTGAGTTATCTCCATACTGATTTCCACAGTGGTTACTCCATTCTACACTCCTACCAACAGTGGAGAAGGTTTCTTTTTTCCCCACAATCCTGTCAGCATTTATTATAGGTTGATTTCTTGATAGCAGCCATTCTTTCTGGAGTGAGGTGGAATTCTCAGTGTTGTTTTCATTTGTATCTCTCAAATGAACAGTGATGTTGAACATTTTTTCATATGTTTATTCACCATTTCTACTTCTTTGTCTGATGTCTATTCATTTCAGATGCCCATTTTTGGATTGGATCTTTAAATTTGGGGGAGGGGTCTGACTTGTTTAAGTTCTTTATATTCTTGAGATAGTAGACCTTTGTCTGAGGAATAGCTGGTGAAAAGTTTTTCCCACATGGTGCGTTGTCTCTTCACTCTGTGGTTTCTCTTGCTGTGAAGAAGCTTTTTAATAAGATAAGATCCCAGTTGTTGATTCTTTGTGCTTGTTCACATGCAACTGAGATTTTTTTTCATGAAATCTTTTCATACACCAGTGTCTTCAAGAGTTCTACCTGACCTCTCTTCCAGCCAGTTTTGTGTTTCTGTTTTAATATTTAGATCTTTGATCCATTTTTATTTTAGTTTAGTGCATGGTGAGAGATATAGGTCTAGTTTCCTTCTTTGGCAAGTTGAAACCAAATTTTTCCAGCCCCATTTATTAAAGAGGCTATCTTTCCTCCAGTGAGGGTGTTTGGCTCCCTGGTCAAAAATGAGGTGGCTCGGTATGTCTGGAGTTGTTTCTGCATCTGTTAATCTGTTCCACTGATCCTTAGGTCTGTTTCTTTGACAGTACCATACTGTTTTATCACAGTAGCTTTGCAGTATAGCTTCAAATTGGGGATTGTTATACCCCTTATCTTGTCTTTGTTGCCTAGAATTTCTTTTGGTATTCTAGTTCTCTACTTGTTCCAAATGAGTTTTTGGATTGTTTTCTCAAATTGTGTGGAGTATGCACATGCCCCAGGCCCATAATGAGGATCTTACAGCCAGGGAGACCTGCAAGGCTGACTTCTCTGAGGAGGACTACATGGCATTAATCTCCCTTAATATTCTATAGAGCAAGAAGCTCCTCAAAGGAGGGAACTACAAATTAGCTTTGCAGTGCCTGCAGGATCTTGTCCATGTTTCCAATGGTGACTCAGAGGCAGCTTGCACTCACACAGATCATCCTGCACATCATTTCGTTTCCCTTTCAAGACAAACTGAACTTTAAATTTGCATAGAAGAAAAAAATAATAATTTGTCCAGTTGATCAATTTGTGACAGTAGGGTATCAATGTCCCCCACTAATATTGTATTAGTGCTTATTTGATTTTTCATGCCCATTAATATTTGTTTCATATAATTGGGTGCACTAGTATTTGGTGCATATATGTTTATATTTGTCATCTCTTCCTCTTGAATTATTTTCTTCACAAGGATACAAGGATGTAGTTGCTTTCTTTGTTTCTCTTAATTAGTGTTGGTTTGACATTCATTTTATTGCAAACAGGATAGCTACTCCTGCTTTCTTTGGGGGGTATCTGTTGCATGGAGTATTGTTTTCCACCCTTTAACTTTCAGTCTATAAGTTTATTTTGAATTGTGTTCCTTGTATGCAACATATTGTTGGATCTTATTTCTTACTTTGTTTTTAGTTTTTGTTTTTGTTTTGTTGTAGTACCGGGGATCGAACTCGGGACCTTGTGCTTGCAATGCAGGCATGGTGCCACTAAGCTAAATCCCTGACCTGGATCTTGTTTCTTGACCCATTCTGCCAGTCTGTTTCTTTTGATTGGTGAATTGGGATCATTAACATGGATGGTTGTAACTGATATGTATTGACTTATTCTTGTCCTGAATTTTTCCTGGTTTTGGATTCTCTCCCTTTGCACTTAATTTCTTGTCTTTCCTAATGGACTCATTCTGCTTGGCTTTGTGGGATTGTGGCTCTCATTGTTTTTTCTTAGGATATTGTTTGAAATTTTTTGGAGTGCTGGTTTGGTATTCATGAAGTTCCTCAGGTGCTTTTTGTCATAAAAGAATTTTATTTTTTCATCAATTTTGAAAGATAGTTTTTCAGGATACATCAATCTGGGTTGGAGGTTTTCTTTTAGGGCTTGAAATATTTCAAGCTCTTGTTGACTTGAGGGTTTGTGTTGAGAAGTCTGCTGTGATTCTGATAGGCTTTCCTTTGTATGATTTGTTTCTTTTCTCTAACTGCGTGTAGAATATTGTTCTTCTGTTGGATTTCTGGAATCTTGACTACTATATGCCTAGGTGTAGCTTTTTTGTTTTTTGTGTTTTGATCCCAGCTAATTGGAGTCCAATATGCCTCACTTATTTCTATATCAAATTCTTTTCCTCTGCTTGGCAAGTTTTCTGCCATTATTTCTGTGAACAGTTTTTTTTTTAAATGTCGTTTTCACTATCTCCTGTTTCTTCATTGACTCCGATCAGTCTTAATGTTATTCTTCTTTGGATCGTCCAGCAGCTGCTGGATTGATTCTCATGGTCCCTTGTTATTTTTAAGAAATCTTTATTTTCCTGGTCACTAATCACAGTCCTATCTTCACTAATCCTATCCTCTCCTCCTATATTCTGTCCCCACATTGGATCATTCTGCTGCACAAACTTTCAATGGAGTTTTTAATACTAGATATGTTTGCATCTGTTCTATAGATTCCATTTATTTCCTATGCTGTGATTCCATCATGTTCTTCAGCTCCTCTATTTTTTAAAAATCTTTGTCTACTCTAGATTTATTAATCATGTCTTTCACTGTGAACACAATCTCTGTTGTTATCTGAGAAATTATTTCTGATGCTATTTTTTTCCAGATCCTCTTTTGTTGCCAGTTCAGGGAGTCTAGGTGGTTGAATTTCAGATTATTTCATCTTCTTTTCCCTTGGAGTTGCCTTTGGTGATCTGGAAGTCTGCTTTTGAGACTTGTTTGAGTGTCTTTTCA